TAACCATCCAACTCATTCTTTATCCTGCTGTCAGACTGTACAATAAGTCACTTTAAGTTGCTTGCACTAGGACTTAAAAAAAAAAAAAAATCCTGCACAACTATTGCCACTGTTTCTTGATTGCCACTTTTATTGTACATAATATATCCTGCATTTAACATGTGTGCACACTTCATTCTTCGCACATTTTTTTTTTCTATCCATGTCAGATGTGACATGTACATTTCTCCTGTGTGAGATCAATGAAGTCTATCTCATCTTAATTTATCATATTCCCATATCTTGGTTCATCACTAGTTTTGCTGTTTCTTAGCTTTTTCCAGATAGACCCTGATTCAGCTAATTAGCTCATTTAGCTCTATGTATTTTTTGTCGTTGAATTTCCTGTGTTTGTAAAATCCTCCAAGATAACCTCTGTCTAAATTAGGGCCGTGTAAAATAGATTTAAGTGAAATTGAATCAGTATAATGAGTTTCATGTTGAACTTGTATAAATCTCCCCTTCAGTTTAGATCTGTGTGTCTATATTTCTACAAATATCAGAAAGATCAGACATGCAGACCCATAATTAAACAGGCCCTAGAACCGATCCTTGGGGGATTCCTGCAATATCGGTTAAGGAAGGTTCTTCTTGTCTTCTTAGTTGATAAATGTATATAGTTCTTCTATACCAGACAATATTGACAGAAGCAGAAACAGGTACATTGGTTTCTGGTCTAAAACTACAGAACGGATCATTCCTGCCTCTTTTTTAATGGTGTATATTGTTATAGTCAGAATTTCTTCAAATAATGACATGTGAATAAGTGAATACTGATAAGTGAGATTTAAGGAATGAAGGTTTCTTCTTGTTGAATACAGTTTATGCACATGAATTCACTGTAATTGTTTATTTTTTTGTTATTGTATGTTCTTTTATGTTTGTTCTGTGCAATACAAGAATAAAGAGTGAAATATGGGGTGGCTGAAATCTATTTATTTTTCTCAGCTCCAAAGTCTGGAAAACGTAATTACTCAAACTAGCAGGAAGCTATTGAAAGGCAAGAGACAACCATTATAGCATGATTAAGAGCTCCTAAAAGTAATTTTCCATTATTATACTCTCTATTGACAAAACATATCTCTATTCTTAGACAATGAAAGGTTCCCCAGAACACAACAACAATGAAGACTATATTTTTATTTTATTTTCACCATTTATCCATTTTGTTGTGGCTTCCTGTTAAAGCTGAAAGATGTTGCCATGTTTGGTGATTAATAACAAATATGAATCATTTTATTTTGCGCTTTTTGGACACTCATAGACGCTTCACTTGTCATTATTCTTTCACTCCATACACAGTGGTGATAAACTACTACTGTAGCCACAGCTGCCCTGGGGCACACTGACAGAAGCGAGGCAACAGGCTGCGCCATTGTCAGCCATTCACGGACACTCCAAAGTCATTCTAGGTACGTGAGTAGTTTGTTTTTCCTAATAACGACTGTGGCTGTTAAGTTGTGTAACACCACCACTGTGGCATTTAGAGTTCCCAGAGGTCTCCCATCACAGTACTTACCATACCCTGCCCTGCTTACCTACGGAGGTCTGACGTGTTCCAGCTTTTACATGATGGTGGCGCCACAGTATATAATTATTTGTTTCCAAAAGACCTGCGCCTGAAGCTAACAAAAGACCCTACCAATCCTGATGTCTTCTCTAAGTTGTAAAAAGTTTGCTACAAAAACTTGCGCTGGGAGAGAAAACCCCACATAGTCATGGGTGGAGGAGGTGTGTTGTTATCACGTTGTCAACACGTTGTGCTGCTGCTTCTTACAATGTGCAAGAGTGTTTGAAATGTTGTAAAATCCTACACATTTCCCCATTCCTCTGTTCATCACTGAAATATAACCGACATGTCACTGTTTGTGTCTCGACGCCGATGTCATCAGTGGCGTTAGTTTTTGGCGTGTGATGTATGGCCCCTTCACGGAGCTGGCTTTGTGCCGTATAATAACAACAATAAGAGTTAGAGACGTGAGTGACAGCGCTCTCTCCTCCAGGACACGTTTCTCTGGCACAGACTCCAAACACTGATGAGGCAGCTCCGGTAACAGTCGATGAATTATGTTCTTTGTGCCAGACACGCTTCCCCCACAACAACAACTCTGTAAGCAGCGCGGTCAAAAAGTCAAAGGGGAAAAAGAGGTCTGGAATGCATGTTGTTCATTTCAATTCAGTTTCTATTCTTCACAACATCTCAGATTTCTGATATATATTTAATAGTGAAACTTTGTGACATTGTGAAATGTTCATTTCTTCAAAAGCAATCTTTGTTCTGATTGGTCAGTTCTCGCCTTGGTTTTGTTGTTACCGTGACTACAGCTCTGCTCTCAGCCTCTTCCAATTAAATAGAGGTAAATACAGGAGCGCCAATTCTTGTCTTTGACTTTTTTTCTTAAGGGGCGTTCACACCGGACTTAACTTTGGCGTCAAAAGCGTCAGGTTTCCATTGAAAGTGAATGGTGAAGCGCGTCAGGTGAAGCCGAGAGCCCCGGCGTCACTTGACGCGCGTCAAAAGCTTCAAGAGTTGCGCGTACTACGCGCTCACTTGAAGCTTTTGACGCGCGAAACGCTCGCGTATCACAACAATCCCTTTGACGCCGAAGTTGAGCAAAGCTGAGCTTTTGAAGCTTTGACGCGGACTTCAACCAATCAGGAGACGAGGAGCAGCAGCAGCAGCAGAGGGTCTGTCTCTGTCATGAAGAGAAGTCATGTATCTGCTGCTGTTGTTTTATTGTCATTATTGTTATTAGTAATATTATTTGTATGAGTAGTAACATTCTGAGTAACAAAAATCATTGTACACATGCTGTGTAGTAAACGTAGTTTATTTAATATAAGAACAGGCTGACGATGGGTCTGGCTCAGAGCAAGGCAGCTCCGGGCGGGCAAGAGCCGATGAGAGGCAGGGAGAGGCAGGGGGAGGCGAGCGAGAGCCGGGGAGAGGCAGGGAGAGGCGAGCGAGAGCCGGGGAGAGGCAGGGAGAGGCGAGCGAGAGCCGGGGAGAGGCAGGGAGAGGCGAGCGAGAGCCGGGGAGAGGCGAGAGCCGGGGTTTGAGAACTCAGACTGGGCAAGTGACATGCGGAAGTACCGCTGAAAGCGAAACTCCTCCGTACGCAGCTCCTGGAGTAAATGACGGAACTCTGCAAACACTGTAGCCTCTCAAGTCTGTGGTGAACCCAGAACATGTTTTGTTGAAGCCCTACAACAACGTTATTTCGCTTTATATAACAAATAAAGGCTCGCTGCTCATTGAAAAATCCACCGCTGTCCTGACTACAGGCAACAGAGAAGCTCCTCCCACCGGCGTCAGGCGCGTCACTCGCGTCAAAAGCTTCAAGCACCAAAATGACAAAACTATCCCGGCGTCAGTTGAAGCGCGTCAAAAGCTTTTTGAAGCTTTTGGTCTGAACGCGCCTTTAGGTTTACATGTTTATAAATCTAACTGTGTTTGAACTGTCATGTACAATGTAAGTAAATGTTTGAGCTTTTTGATTATTGTTTCAAAGAGAATAGTCATTTGTTAGTTAATGTTGCGATGTGTAATTTTGCTTTGTATAGTATTATTTTTATACTTTTTAATGACCCTGTCAGTGATTAATGGAATCCGGTGTGTTTCCTAAACAAGGTAGGATGGCGGTATTACTATCAAGTTGATATTATTATGTTTTAACTTCTACACTTTTCCCACTGGGTTTAGAGTTTTTTTGCCGATGCAGGAGGGTCTGATAGAGTCTTGTGAAGGTCTGACTAAAAGGACAGTGGTGATGATCCAGGACACTCAACATTCAACAACATTTATGGACATTTATCAACACTTATGGATATTGGTCATCTTCCTCACTCTTTGGAAGTGACTGGTGATAATCAAATGTGTTACAGCTGCAAGGCTAGTCGACGGGGTCTGAAGCTATGGTCAGACTCTGAGTTAACCCAAAATGCTCAGAAGTGGTTGGCCTATACTTGCTGACGCTCTTAAAACAAGATTTGTCAATGGGACAAAGCCACTTAGTCTTATTTTCAAGAACTGTTTCTTTATTTTTTAATTCCAAGGTAGACATTTGTAGAATTTTTTTTGACAATTTTGTGTTAAGGTTTAACTGTTAGCTTCCATGCCAAGTGTCATATAGCTCCCAAAACTATAAGCTGTAACTCTGACTACTCTACCACAATAAAAATGCACATAATAACTACATCGCTAAAAAAGCTGCAGGGTTTAAAGAGAAAAAATATAAAAGTAGCGATAAAAAATTATTTAAATGGTCCGAAAAGAGTTTGGATGACCAAATACGTGAGTTGTTCCAAAGAGTAACTCCACCCGCTGAGACTCACATTGATTTTTAAGTCGTTCTAAATGTAGCCATAGATATTTTTGGTTTCCTCTGAAGCTGTCATTATGGTCAACGACATGGAACGGTTTTGTAAATGTCAGTGTATGTTTGTTCATTGTTTTGTTGCTGTGAATCCCACCTCTGAGATAAAAGAATCTGGTTCCATTTACAGCTGCTGTCGGCTGTGAAGGGCTGGAAAGGTGTGAAGTGGTTCAGTTTCTAGTATAAAAGGTGTAAAGAGGCGAGATCTGTCATCAAAACACATATCGAAGAATTATGAATTGCCGGGGCACCTAATTTGTGTTTGTTTTATAAATTATACATTGTGTTCATCCCTAATAATTCATTCACTCTGTACAAAGTGGTGATAAACAAAAAACAATAGTCCCTTGTGACCCCAGCCTCCCTGGGAATACAAATGATGATTAGCATTTAGCTACAATCTGGCATGTTAACTATAAATGTTCATTGACATGTACTGTCCCTGTCAAAAAAACAAAGACATTACATTAGTATTTCAGCCACAGCAGCCCTGGGACACAATGACAGAAGCAAAGTAACCAGTACATGCAATCGGTTCAGAGGTAGAATTGAACCCAGGATCTTTTTGCTACCCACTATGCCATCATGAACAAGGGTAAGAAAGGGTAAGGATGCCAGCGCCGAGAGGCCACAATGCACATGGACAGCACTTTAAATATTACAAAAAGATAGGACCCAAGAAATATAACTGCAAAAACTGTTATATAAAACCATAATTAATTCGACAAAATCACAAGACCCAAAACCAAGAGGAAAATATCACAAGCAATCTCTATGTTTCATCTGCACCTGTGGACTGTCTACCCCGAACCACAGTCCCCTACCCCGAACCAGAGTCTCCTACCCTGAACCAGAGTCCCCTACCCCGAACCAGAGTCCCCAACCCCGAACCAGAGTCCCCTACCCCGAACCAGAGTCCCCTACCCTGAACCAGAGTCCCCTACCCTGAACCAGAGTCCCCTACCCCGAACCAGAGTCTCCTACCCTGAACCAGAGTCCCCTACCCCGAACCAGAGTCCCCAACCCCGAACCACAGTCCCCTACCCCGAACCAGAGTCCCCTACCCTGAACCAGAGGTCCCCTACCCCGAACCAGAGTCCCCAACCCCGAACCAGAGTCCCCTACCCCGAACCAGAGTCCCCTACCCTGAACCAGAGTCCCCTACCCCGAACCAGAGTCCCCAACCCCGAACCAGAATCCCCTACCCCGAACCAGAGTCCCCTACCCTGAACCAGAGTCCCCTACCCCGAACCAGAGTCCCCTACCCTGAACCATAGTCCCCTACCCTGAACCAGAGTCCCCTACCCTGAACCAGAGTCCCCAACCCTGAACCAGAGTTCCCTACCCTGAACCAAAGTCCCCTACCCCGAACCAGAGTCCCCAACCCCGAACCAGAGTCCCCTACCCCGAACCAGAGTCCCCTACCCTGAACCAGAGTCCCCTACCCCAAACCAGAGTCCCCTACCCTGAACCAGAGTCCCCTACCCTGAACCAGAGTCCCTTACCCTGAACCAGAGTCCCCTACCCTGAACCAGAGTCCCTTACCCTGAACCAGAGTCCCCTACCCTGAGCCAGAGTCCCCAACCCTGAACCAGAGTCCCCTACCCTGAACCAGAGTCCCCAACCCCGAACCAGAGTCCCCTACCCCGAACCAGAGTCCCCTACCCCGAACCAGAGTCCCCTACCCTGAACCAGAGTCCCCTACCCCGAACCAGAGTCCCCTACCCTGAACCAGAGTCCCCTACCCTGAACCAGAGTCCCCAACCCTGAACCAGACTCCCCTACCCTGAACCAGAGTCCCTAACCCTGAACCAGACTCCCCTCCTCCGAATCGGACCTTTGGGAAGCTGGTATTGTTGTAAATGTGGTATACAAATAAATCTGACATTGTAAACTTTGTAAAGACCTCTGAGACGACTGCTGTTGTGATTTTCAGGCTGTACAAAAATGAATTCAATTGGATTGAGTTTATAGGTTACACAAAATAGATTAGAGCTATCAAAACATGCAATTAATAACCACCTCTTTAAGATTTGCCCTTGTTTCACCTAAAGGCTTATTTTCTGAGCTATAAAAAAAAACTGTCGTAGCCACATATGTAGAGTCCAGCAAACTTCCAAAACCCCGCCCCATGCCGAAACCGTACACGTGTGGGCAAAAAGCAACTGCTTTCCCCCCTTCCCCTGGAGGCCCGGCCGACATTTTTTTTTTTGTTTTTTGATTTTTTTTTGCCCCAAAGAACTCTTCCGAGCCGACCCTGATAGTCCATGCTTCCATGGAACCCTCTCCGAATTCCCCCCTCCCCAGTCCCAGTGGTATTTTTTATGCCTCTGCAAACAGCCCGGGCCCCCGCGGCAAACCGCTTTTTGGGCCCCCCCTCCCCCACGGTAAAAAAACTGGAACCAACCCTGGGCCTCAATGAAGTCCCCCCCGAACCCAATACCATGGCTCGATAGGACTACCTCCTTGCAGCCCCCTGAACTGCCATCCCTTTTACTGCCCCGGTGTTTCCCCCCCCCCAACCATCCGTGTTTCCGGGGGTGTTTTTGCCCCCGGATAAAAACCAACAACCCGAAAGAACCCCATTTGGCCGACCAACAGCTTTACCGAGCCGCCGCATCCGCGATAGAGGAAAAGAACATGGTTCCACTCGGACTCAATAAATTCCCCTTCCTCGCGCCCCCGGGAACCTGGAGAAGCCCTCCCCCCCGGAGGTGGGGATGAGTTGAAAGTCCCCACCCCCTCTGACAGGGGGTTCCCCCCCCTCAGCGAGAACGTTTTTTTTCCCAGCGACCCTCCCACTACAACGCTTGGGGTCCCCCCCCCCCCCCCCCCGCCAGGTATATTGGACCGCTCTTTTCCTTTCCCCCTATGCCCAACGGGATCCAACCACAACGACCAGGTTTGGTTTGATCGGTTTGAAAAGCCTCCCCGCCCCTCTTTTAAACCCGAGTGTTCCCCCCAAAACACCGCGGCCCCCGAAAGGTTCCCAGTGAATTACGCCTAACCAAAAGTTCGATCATCGACCTCCGCCCTAGGGTGTCCCTGGTGCCCGAAACCCCACGTTCCCCCAACTGGGGGTGGGAACAACCTGGTATGGCTTCAAAAACCCCATGGGGGTGGTTTTTCGTGGATGAAACAAACCCGTGAACTAGCACAGAAGTCCCAACACTGAAACACCACACGGGTTTTTCAGAAAATCAGGGGTGCCATTACTCCCCGAATCAAACCCCCTCTCCCCAGTGTCCACTTGGCGGCTTCCCCCCCCCACAAGGGCGTAAAAAGTCACCCCCCCAGAGGAATGACGGAGTCCCCCGGGCCGGTGCAACCCGGCCATACCCCCCTCCCCAAAGGACTCGCCCAAGAAGGCCCGAGTACTCTGCCAACTGCTTGTTTTGTTTTCTAACGCCGTAGGGCACCCGTCACAAACAGTGAAAGACCTTTTTGTTCCCCCCCCCCCCCGAGGTGGAGGGGGACGCGACCCCCTCCCCTCAATTTCCCCCAACCCGGGAAAAACTCTAAACCGAGTGGGTGCCGGCTGAAAAAAGATAGGGGGGGCAATGAGTATGGGCCACACCCCAGCTTTTCACGCCGCCCTTCCCACCCTCCCCCCCGGCGAAGAAACAACCAAGAAAAAAAGTTGAGCGTCCCAAACCCCTCCTCAAGAGTTTGGGGTTTTTTTTCCAAGCCCAAGCCTTTGTGGTGGGGATGTGGAGGCCGACTATCTTATAGTTCCGTAAATTCCGGCTCCCCAAACCCGCCCCCACAAGCTCGGGCTTTCCTTCCCCCCCCAGTGGAGGTTGAAACCCCGTTCCCCACAACGTCCCACAGCCCAAGAATTGTTTGGGTGTTGCCGTACTGGGGTCCGTCCCGAGGTCCCTCCCCCGCCCTCGACTGGGCCCTGGCCCAGTCCCCCCCTACCTCCTGCAACCTCCGTAAAAAAACCTTGGAAAATTCGTAAAACTGAATTTTTTTTTAGTGTACCTGAAAAAATGTAAAGAAAAAAAAATAATTTCCAACATGGTTTTTTTTTTTTTCCCCAGGCTTTTACAAAAAAATTGTTTTTCCAAAAACCGAAAAAAATTCAAGCAAAAAAAAATTTTCCTAAATCCGAATGGAACACAAAAATCTTCCATAACCCGTCGCCTTTCCCCTCTGAATTAAAGTCCAACAGATCGTATGGACCTGTCTTGTTTTTTAACACTTCTTCCTTTTGGTATAACATTTTCTTTCCCATCCCCCGGTCCCATAACAAAACTAACACCCCCATTTTTACAAGGTTTTTTTTTATTTGTTTTTCCAAATCGGTTTTTTTTATTTTTATTTTTTTAAGCGGCAGCAAGACCAATGGCCATAAACAAAAAGCAGGAGCTACAAGTACCCTTCCAATAAATTTTTTTCCCCTGGCCAATTCCAGAGGCATTGATATTAAAGTTATTTTTTTACTGATTTATTAAACTAAAATTCTAAAAAAAAACAACACGAAAAACAACATAGCAAAAGGTGGGGAAATTACATGTTCCCCCCCCCCATAAAGTGTGGTTTTTTTTTTTATTTAAAAAGAAAAAAAAAAACCATGTTTTTTTTTTTTTTAAATATGATACCCCCCTTTTTACACCACTATTTTAGGTTGGCCCCTCCCCAAACATGTCAAAGCCGTCCCTTCCCCATCCCTATAAAACTTGCCAAAAAACCGAAAAATGATAAAATGATTTAATTGCCAAAAAATTGTATAGTTTTTTCAATTGTACACAAGCCAAACATCCCACCAAAAGGTGTTGCTTGATTTTTTCAAATAAGAAAGGCAAATAACCAAATATATTTTTCTAAACATTTAGATATTTAAATTTAGAGCCCCAAATGGCAAACTACCGCCAGAAAAGAAATGCCCCATTATTCCCTCCATTTAGGTTGGCAACGATTAATTTTGAACACAATAACAGAAGTCACAAGATATTAATAAACTGGAACAAATAAAAACAACACCCAATAAAACCCAAAAAATGAACAGGACTACATTTAACATAAAATTATAAAAAAAAAAATTAAATTGCTGTGTATGGTGTTTTTTTAGAAGCAAATGCATGTAAAATTTGTTGTGGCTTTTAACATTCTACGCATGGGGGGTGGTTCCCCCCCCCATTTTTGTTTTTATGTTTTTTCAGTGAGCCCCCTGGTGGGGGGACGATTAACACCTTTGGGGGGGCTTGGGCTTCCTTGAAAAGTATTAAGTTAATAGTGGTTGGCAAAAAAGTGCCTGGTTTCCTTGCTTTTGCTCCCTGTAGATCTAATCTATCTTTCATCAGCTATTAAGAGACACCCCGTTTACCGCTAACTCCCTCCCCACACAACACAACCGGAACAAGGGAGGAAAAGGAAAAATGAAGAGAGATAGGCGGTAAAGTATTGTCTCCTAAAGCCCTTGATTGTAATTATAAGATTAAGATTAGATAGCAAGCAGACCCAAGGCCACTGCTACCAACTATCACTTAATTACTATCCAAAGGAAGCCCCAAGCAAGTCCCATCGTCACAGCGCTCACTGGAAAACTAAACAAAAATGACACACTTTTAGATGTAAGCACACAAATACATGCATCCCTTCCCAAAAAACACACACACAGCATAATTAATGTTTTTTTATTTTTTAATGTAGGTAGTCCCCCCCCGGTTTCATTTTTTGGGTTTTTTATGTGGTCCATTTGTAAGTTTTTTATTAATTTTCTGTGGACTTTACTGTTTGTTTTTATAGTCCCCCAAATAATAGTTGGCCAACTAAATGGATGAAAATAACTGGGGCAATTATTATTTTTCTGCTTTAGTTTTTTGCATGGGCTTTGCCTACATTTAAAATAATCTAAATTGTTTTAAATATTGTTTTATTGGCCTTTTTTTTAACTAATTTGAAATAATGCAAGCAACAACTTTTGTTGGGAAAATGTATTTTTTTTGGGTGAAAAAAACAATAAAAACAAGTAATATTGCAATTAAACCATTTTTTTTCTTCCATACGTTTTTGATTTTTTTTTGCAGTTGTTTTAAAGAAATGGAAAAAAGACGGCCTTTGACATGTATGTAGGGGGCCCAACTAAATTAGGTGTTTAAAAGGGGGCAATCCTTAAATAAAAAACCATGGTTTTTTTTTTATTTTTTCTATAATAAAAACAACCTATGAAACATGGGGTAATATTTTTTTTTCCCCCACCTTTTGCTATGTGTTTTTCGTGTTAT